ACGCCTAACCCTATGGACGGTACGCCTAACCCTATGGAAGGAACGCCTAACCCTATGGAAGGAACGCCTAACCCTATGGACGGTACGCCTAACCCTATGGAAGGAACGCCTAACCCTATGGAAGGAACGCCTAACCCTATGGACGGTACGCGTAACCCTATGGACGGTACGCCTAACCCTATGGAAGGAACACCTAACCCTATGGAAGGAACACCTAACCCTATGGAAGGTACACCTAACCCTATGGACGGTACGCCTAACCCTATGGACGGTACGCCTAACCCTATGGAAGGAACGCCTAACCCTATGGACGGTACGCCTAACCCTATGGAAGGAACACCTAACCCTATGGAAGGAACACCTAACCCTATGGAAGGTACACCAGCTACCCGTTGCAGTAATCCATTTTAAACTCAGAAATAGCTGTAGTGCCCCCCCAGACTATCAGACTATGAAAGTCTTGCTGTCTGAAACCTGTAGTTCTGGGAATCATGTGACAAGAAGAAGGAGTTCTCTCTGGCAAAGACTTACATAACACATCTCCAGGACAGAAGATAAAACACATTGCTTTCATGAAGGCAGAGTGCCCGCCCCCGAGGGCTCAGCCCTAAGTGGGAGTGAAACTAAGTCTTAACCCCAAGGAGACCAGCGGAGCCCCTGGACACATTATGGGATCCTCCATATACTGAAGACCAACCCCCATACCTGCAGGGGACACCAACTGCGGCCCGTCACTACTACTTCAGCCATGTAGTCACTCCACTAAAGGGGATTGGTTGCTGAACTCTGAGTCTGTGTCCCCCATCGGCTTTTCATGTCTTATATCCTCAGGGAGCTCATTCTACCCCATTCTACCCCCATTCATCCCCATTCTACCCCCATTCATCCCCATTCTACCCCATTCTACCCCCATTCATCCCCATTCTACCCCCATTCATCCCCATTCTACCCCATTCTAACCCATTCATCCACATTCTAACCCATTCATCCCCACTCTACCCCCATTCATACCCATTCTACCCCCATTCATCCCCATTCTACCCCCATTCATACCCATTCTACCCCATTCTACCCCCATTCATCCACATTCTAGCCCATTCTACCCCCATTCATCCACATTCTAACCCATTCTAACCCATTCATCCCCATTCTACCCCCATTCTACCCCCATTCACCCCCATTCTACCCCATTCATCCACATTCTAACCCATTCATCCACATTCTAACCCATTCATCCCCATTCTACCCCCATTCACCCCCATTCATCCACATTCTACCCCCATTCTACCCCATGGCTGACCCCAGGCGTACAATGTACATACAAGGCGAGCTCCGGAGTGTGTACAGACCTTGGTGTGTGGCAGGGATGAGGACTTGCTGCGCCGGGGTTTGGTGTTGCATGGTCTGCTGTTGCTGCGGGTGAGGCTGGACGTGGTGGTGGTGGTGGTGCTGCTGCTGCTGATGCTGCTGTTGCTGTTGCTGTGACTGCAGTAGAAGCTGCTGCTCTTCCGAATGAAACCCATCCACCGCCTTCGACTGCATCAGCTTACTCTCCCAGAGCTGCAAACACACAAAGCTGGTCAGTGTTACAGAACTACAAGTCTCAGCATGCCCCGGCAGATTGTATGGTGTGCTGGGGTCCAGGAGATGAGCACATAGTCTGTATTCAGTACACGTGAAGGAGTAACGCTGTGATTGGCTGTGCGCTCTGATGTGCTTTCTATGATGAAATGTTACATAGCAGCGGAGTTTAGTTTGATGAAACCCCGCCCCCATGTAGTTACCCCGCCCCCATGTAGTTACCCCGCCCCCATGTAGTTACCCCGCCCCCAT